GAGTCACTTTTCCGCCACAAGTTCGAGACCTGGCAAGCTGCTGCAGAGAGCGCCGTAGCTCCATTACGGAGCGAGAGCCTAATCAGGGACTGTGTCGCGGCGACGTAGCCTCGGGTACATGTTCCACGAGCCTGTTCAATTGCCTCACTCATTAACATTAAATTAATACCCCTACATTCAATGGCTCCACGTAAAATGGTTATGCTGTCGGGCCTATGACGCCGGCAAATGTGTGCACCGGCGCGCAGGCAAAGCCGCAAAGTAGGGTTGACAGTCCGCCACAGTCGCAGCCACACTTCAAGGGCCCGATAAGGAAAACCAAGGGCCCATTAACTAGAGCCCTCAGAAGCCACCCGTCGCTCATTCTGCATTTTCTGTGGCTTTTCCACTTTCAAAATCTTCAGCTCTTGTTAATAATGCCAATTTATCTCCTTATTTTGCTTCACGGCCTCCGTCATCCGTCGTTTTCTCCCAATTTCCGCCTCTCATTGCTTCCTCTTCTAGAGCGAGAGCTTTTGCTCCGCTGCCTTCTGCTGTCGCTGAAGCTTTCGGCCTCCTTCTTCAGAGCCTCCTCTTTCTTTGGAGTCCTTTCACTGTCATTTTTGGCGAGCTTGAGCCACATTTTTAGAGCTAAACACCTCGTCTGCACTAGAATCTGTACAGCAGAAGAGATCATCTTTGAAGCCTTACCGGTCTGCCTGCGCTGGTTCTTGTGACTACTTGTTCTCTGCATACTTTAACTCTCATATCAAGCACTTAAAACTCATATTGAGGGCTCCTGAGGGTGCTGCTCAGCCTTCGGCTGTTGCGGCCAGCATCAACAGAGGACTTCTCGACTACTTCCTGAAATGCGTTCCAAAACACAGTCTAGATCTTCGATTTCAGCAATCCAATGAACCTTTTTGATTTGTCTGTGTACTGGATAAGATCATGCGTATACGCTGTTGAGAGAGGCTGAATAACGATACATCAAGGGCAGGGTGGTTTTCCATACATGGAAAGGCCTGCAATCGATAATCGGTATCGGCCCCACATTTATTGCAAGTATTGCAATACACCTTTCCATACTTGGTCCGTGCACGACGACAAAATGTCACTGAAGACACCTTCGACAAGATGGACAAATTCACACCATATGGTGAATTAAAAATACGAAGTAATTGATTGAGCTCAATGATAATGTCCAAAAGAGAGGGTAGGCAAATCTTACGTGTTTTGTTCCAAGACGAGGAGGGAAATCAGACGGGAATTTGCACGAATTCTCACGCCACGGTCACGCCACCGCCCTTCCTCTTCAAGACATTGTTCTTCACCCAATGCTTCAACCAATTCTCCCTTTTCAATTTGGTCCGCATCCAATTGTGCCCTTTCCCAGGAGATCGTACGACGAGCCCCTGAAAACACCTGTTCCGGCTCGTCGCTCATCGCTGGCATTGATAGGATGTCTATTGCCATTCGTGATAACTTCGGCCGTCGGTTCCTATGTCGCTCTTGAAGCCACCATGATAAAGCAGTTGTTGGCGCAATCTCATATGGATCACCTGAGATGTAATCTTCATACTCGTCTTGACTTGTAGGTCGAGCACAATTCTGCAGATTTCTTGAAATACGATCAAATGCATCAAGGCCATTGTCTTCTTCTTCGTCCAGTACATGATACGAAATTGTACCGTCGTTTGTATTTCGGTAAGAGTAGCAAAGGTCTTTGACCCGTTTGAAAGCAGTTTTATGCCACTTCTTCTAATTTGAGTGGATGTACGTCGTGCGATAGCTTGGATGAAGGACCAAAGAAGCGGCGTAATAGGGCGAATTCTCTTTATTGATAATTTCTTGGTCAAGGTAGCCTTTGAAGACACGGCCCAGATCCCACGCTTGCCCGTAGAGTTGATCAAATCCTTCGATGATGGACGGTTGAAGAGGAGATAAATTCTCTGCGACGTTGATGACATACTTTCTTGCCCTCAGGGTGTTTTCGAAAGCTGGCTGTGACAGAAGTACTGTAGGGATCATTCTGGGGACAATAAAGATAATATATGAGGCGGTTCCTGCCTTTGAACTCCGCTTCCCTAACCCTTTACTACCGGTACACTACTGCCAGATGAGCATGTTTTCATGATCCAAAAGCAGGTTTTTCTTGTCTTGGGAGATATAGACGCGAATGAATCCGAAGCAATGGATTCAGAATCGAAGAAACATAACTAACACAGGCTCAGAATCCATTGTCGCCAGGTGATAATGGTATGCTGTGGGTTGGTGGTGAGGCTGATTTTGTGGATGTGCGGATTTGTAGCGGGGTTCCAGGCCCACAGCCCTGTAGGTAGCCCCCTGTAGGAACCCTTGTTAGTGGCGTGGTTCAGCCAATAGTATGGAAATACATGGATCCATATCCATACCTATTCCATGCCATTCATGGAAAGGGTATTTCCATATTTAGATATGGAAAACCACCCTGATCAAGGGTTGCAGCCGATGAATGGATTGAGGGGGAAACACCACAACGATCACTCGGTGCCGGTCACACCACTCCATAAATTCGATACTAAAATGGTTAAGTGGCCATCGGGAACCAAAAGGCGATAAGCACAACCGTTTCGAGCTTTCGCCCTGGTAAACCGGTCGAACGTACCGGTGAGCTGCTCATTTCCAATATTGTGATTCGTCCACCTCGTTTTTGACGTGTTAACAATATTTATTGACGACTTGATTCACGTTTCACGAACCAAAAGTCCAGAGTTTGTGCTGGCTTGTCTTGGTGGATGAGAAATGGGGGCAGCGATGCCATCTCTTGACTGACGCACATCTTGAACGTAATGGAGGATGGGTTGCCATTTTTTAATACGCCGAGCAATTTTGCCTTGTTTTCTTATAATAAGAGGAATACCTGTTCGTTCAAATGCTCATAAGGAATAGAAAGCCCATTTCATCCATGTTATACGTGTTTTAGGGTAGGGTGTCGAATTTCTCAATTTTCGTGCACGTCTTTCCTTGTCAGGTGTGAAAGCGGAGCCTCGCGCACTGAATTTCAAGCTAAAAATAAACCTTACATTCAGATGCATAGACAGGTTCTTTTCAGAAGATGCTTGTACCGTCGAATCACGTTCAATCTGGCTCATTACGGGTGCGTAGAATGAAGTTATCCAGCTCGCCCTTCCAACCCCCATTTTTTGCAGTATCCTGAGCCAAGTTCTGCACTATGGATAGAATGGGGAGAATCCCACATGATTAAAGCCTACGATGAAAGCCAATAATGTTCTGTTTTTGCTGTATTGGCTGAAATGACTTACACAATCTGTCGGCATCCTATTTTGGCCGTTGCTTGGTTTGATGTCAGCACCGCAGCGCATTGCCCCCTAGATAAAAGTTATAAATATATGCCAGACTTTCACTGCTTCTGATGATTCAGGAAATCAAAGGATACGTCAATTGGCACCGTTGTTGTTGAGCTATTGTCGATTGATGTTGAGCGTGCGAAGTCGCCGCAATCCGGCAGATCACCAGATCCGGCAGATCATCGGAAAATCCCTTACCACCCTGCCACCACACACAAACGGCCCCCTTTCCGCTCCCTGTGCCCGATTTTTAGTCTCCCTGTGCACCTTACCGTACTTAGCAAGACTCCACACGTAGACGCGTAACACACCATAATACACACAATTGGCGTCGCGGCAAGCAGTGCCTCCTGATACAACACCACAAGCCAAAATAACTCGTGATAACCACCCACCTCGCAATACCACATCGCGTCTGCCAGACAGTCGCCCCAATAAAGGGAAGGTAAAAGACTAAGGCTAGTCCAAAAAAGATGATTCTCGCCTTGGAGGGGTCAGGAAATCTGGACAAAAGTTGGCTTGGAGTCGCTGGGAGCGGACAGCATTTTTCGTCGGGATTGGCGAAGCGAAGGCAAAATCGGTTGATGTTGATGGGTTTGTACGCAGATGGCGGAGGAACGACAAGGTGACTGACGATTTGAGCGGTGTGCCTCTGATTCCCAGGAATCCGCCGTTTGTTGGGCCGGAACAGGGTGTCATGCATGTGCACGGGGTTTCCGTTACTATCTCATGTTGCATGCAGCCTTGTACGATTCTGAAGGAGGCACCGACGCAATGGTGAGGAGAGGAGGAGATTAAATAGGCGCCATGTGCGGCACTGGGACTCGACTTTGGATTTTGTCGAGCCGCCTGATGCAATTCAATGCACTGTAAGGCACGTAGTGAATGAAGGCCTGATTTGAGAGATGGCAGCGAATATTGGCCGGTACGACCCAGTCTCTGTTGCCACCCCTCTCCTTGAAGGCTACCGTAGGGCTGATGTACACACGGGTCGAAAAGTTGGAGGCCATTAATAGCTATGCCCCCCCGAGGTTGTGCTAGGATGGCTCCGATAAGACTAGCAGCGACATCCTTCTACTGACCTTCGGCTCACGCGGATTATGGTACTACCCGTTTAGTTTAGTTTAGTTTAGTGTATTTTCCGTCCAGCAACTTTTGGTCGCTCAGGTCTCCGCAGGGGAGCACAGGACGTGCTGAGCTAGCAGGTGTCTACATGCTACATATCGTACACTTCACCCACTATCCAGCATTTCATCGGCTCAACGGCGCTCATGACAAACCTGTTGCCCGTCAGCGGGACGTCCAGGCATGAAGAGAAAGCTGTCCCGTGGTCAGATCAGCCAATTTGCTTCTGGGGCCTTGCAGCCCTTGATGACCTCGGCGATCGCATGGTCGCGAGACCTTGACGCCGCCCGAGATCGGAGCAGGTAACAGAAAGGATTGAGAGGAAAAGGTAGGGTGAGAGAGGAGAATGATGACCGTCTAGTGGCGTGGGCAGATCCTCCGAAGAAGGAGCTCGCTTTCGCCAGCCTGACGAATTTGTCAAAGTCCTTGCCGATTGCGCGGTTGATGGCTGCAGCCGGCCAAGGTGCAAGCCGCATACGATGCCGTGGCGCAACCTTTCTGCAGTAAAAGATGTGTGCTGGCTCTGGCGTCTTCCGCACGAGCACGTCAGTCGCGCATTGTCGTGACCAAACCTTTCGTGGTAGTCAGCAAAATCCCCATGGTGGGTTCTTGCTGCAAGCAAGTTACGAAGCAGGGGCCGAGAGAGCGCCAATTCTGACGGGCAGCTGGTTGTGGCTTTAAGCCTCAGGTCTCTGTATCGCTCCGGCGCAGAGGCTTCCCACCAGGCCTTGAAAGCCTCTTCCGGCTGCTGTCGGGCAATCTTTCGCAGGTGCGCTAGCGTCGGGACGTTATCAGCGGGTTCTGGCAGTGATGCTCCCGCCTTTGCCAGAGCATCAGCCTCCTCGTTGCCTGGGATGTCAGCATGGCCGGGGATCCAATGGACCTCCACAGCTCCGTATTTTCGCGCCAAAGATTGAAACTCAAGGAAGACCTCTTGCGAGGAGTCGCTCGGCGTGCCCCGTAAGCATGTTGCGGTCGCAAGGTTGTCGAGGCAGACAAAGATGCGGTCAGTTTCTGGAAGGCTCACCGCAGCCTTCAACCCCTCCAACGCACCTTTCGCCTCAGCGTCGAAAATCTCGGCGGGCCCGAGACGGCCCTTGTCGCGCAAGACGGTGGATCCGTCCCGATGAACAACATAGCCATATCCGGCGTGGCCTTCGGTAGAACGGGACCCGTCGGAATAGACGACCAGAGTTCGGGGCGATAGTGCCTGGAGCCAATCGCGAAATTTCTTCGCCGTCTCATTTTCGATGCACTCTGCAGAGGCGCAGTCTGCTCTTCGACAAATCCGCGCTGCAGCAAGGCAGGCCTTGGGCAGCTTGGTAGCAATTCGTCGGAGCGCCGCAGCCTAGTCCGGAAGGGTTTTGGCTGCTTTTGGTACTTCAGCTTGATCATTTCATTCAGTATAGGGGCTTTTGGCCTCGACGTGCGCTTCACGAGCGGATGAGCTTCGTCCAGGGATTTGAGACGCGCAGCAAATGCAGTCCGGCGCGCCTCGAGCAGCAGAGGGACCGGCGGTATCCCTGCCTCCCGGTGCAGAACATTCGTTGGTGTAGTTCTCCACACTGGCAGGATAGCCCGAAGAGATGTGTAGAGTGCCTTGCTCATCTTCTTTACGAGGTGTCCGATCCTGGACGGTCCTTCCTTGCCCGGCTTGGTCCAGCGCGGGCGCGTAGAACCAGGATACCAGACCTCCGCCGCGTAGAGCAGCACTGGAATGACGCAAGCGCAGACCGCTCGTCGCACAGCGCTCGGTAGAGGACCATGCCTGGTGTTTGTCAGTCTCCTGAGATGGAAGGCGACTGCTTGCGCTTTGGCCGTCCATTTCTCGACATGAGTCTTGAAAGACAGAGTGCTGTCGAGCCAGACGCCGAGCCAACGCATCGCCCGGCCCGGCCGTTTCTCAAATTCGCCATGGAGCACTGGCGGCGCCGTCTTGGGCGTCGTTCGAGAGAAGTGCATCACTTCTGTCTTCTCAGGGTCGAAGGAGATCCCGTTGGCGGCGCCCCACGATACAAGCTCACGCACATGATGAGATGCTTCGGCGGACGTCTCATCCAGGCTATCGCCGACGCAAAGGATGGCAGTGTCGTCCGCATAGCCGAAACGCCCTTTTGAGCTGCCCAAGCGGTAGATTGGTTCCGTATACAGTAGGAAGAGGATCGGCGAGACTGGCGATCCCTGTGGCAGCCCGCACTGGAGAGGCGATGAATTCGTTGCGATATCTTGATAGCGGATGCGTGCCGACCTGTCTTGCATAAACGAGCCGACCCATCGCGCGAGGTTCGGTGGCCACCCTGCTCCCGTAGGCGAAGGATCAATCTGTTGCGGAGGACTGTGTCGAAGGCGCCCTGAATGTCCAAAGTCACCAATGTTGCAACCTGCTTGCAGGCAAATGCCTCCTCGATGTCATGAATCAAGGCAGCAACGAGATCCACGGCCGATCTCTTCGGGAGCGCGCCGGCTTGTTGTGGGTGTAGTACGCCGAAATGGACCGAGGCCCACGCTAGACGCCGTGCGATGAGCCGCTCGAGGCCCTTGCCGAGACAGGACAAAGGGGATGTGAGATCCCTGCGCCCCGGCTTGGCAATCATGACCACTTCTGCTTCTCGGAAGGGCTTCGGATGGTGGCCAATCCTGAGGCAGCCTTGATATAGCTGGTGGACGAGACTTCCGATCGCATGCCAGACAGCGCGGAGCATCCGCACCGTAATATTGTCGGGACCAGGGACGTATTCCCGGTGCGTAGCGTGGCGTCGCGGGTCTCCTCCGGAGAGACTCGGTCGGTGAAGGGTATCGTCCTATCTGTGTTCACGGAGATCCACGGATCTGGGATGTCGTCGTTCGCCGTGCGCCGTTCCAGAGTGGCTTGTCGCAAGGCGGTGGCCTTTTCCAGCTGCGTCTCATACACTCGGTCGTCAATTTGCAGGGGAGGAGCTTGAAACGGACCTGGAGACTTCAGCCAGCGGACCGCCCTGAAGACGGAGGCGCTATCGGTGAAGCTGTCAATCAAGTTACGCCAGTAAAGGCGCTTGGCCCGGCGCACCACGCTATGGAGCTCCTCTTGGCTAGCTGTACTTCTCGGTCGAAGCCGAGAAGTGAACTCTCCTCCACGCGCGGTAATTGGCCGCCGCCTTTGCGCATTCTTCAGTCCACCACCGCGCACCATGCGTAGTCTTACGGGCAGGTCGACCGGCAGCTCTGGCTGCACAACCAAGAAGGTTCACGAGCGCCGACGCAAAGCTGTCGAGCTCGGAAGGAGATGCCGTGGTGATCGGGATGAAGGCGGCACCGGCCTCCACTAATTCAATGAATCGCTTCAATTCCTCGTCGGAGTTGAGATGGATCTTTCCTATTGGAAGGGGTGCCAGAACTTGTCCTGGCAGCGTGATACTAAGGGTAAAATGATCGGAGCCGGTTGCTAGATGATCCTCGACAACAGCGTCGGCCAGAGGTATGTTGCAGAAGGCGAGATCAACCGTATTGCCGTGTGCGTTGGTCGGGACATCGACAGGATTCAGTAAGCCGAGTCGATTGTCCATTGCCCAAAACGCTATTTCTTCGCCGCGGTCCTCTCGTCGACCGGCCTGCCAGCTGGGATGTTTGGCATTGAAATCACCAGCAACAAGACACTTGTCCGGTACGGTCCACTGAAGCAAGATTTCAAGGGCTCCGTCGTGGTACGGCTGCCGATAGAAGTTGACGACTGTTATGCCGTTGACGGTGAGCCAAAGGATGTCACGAGTCGCCGCAGGTCTCTTTTGATCAGCGACGAGACCTGCGGAACGCCGGACGTATGTCATGACTCTCGGGCGAGTGTCGCGGCCGTCCCAGTCGTTGACGGGTGAGAAGGTGTCGTAGGCCTGATGCGTCTTAGTGAGGCATCGGCCATCTTTCAGTCCTGTCCATGGCTCCTGCAACAAAATAATGTCGTATTGTTCCGAGTCGGCCAACGCAAGGGCACAATCGTGTGCCGGCGGAATCTTGCCTACGTTGGCTTGGAAGATTCGCAAGATCCTCCTATCGCTTCGATTGCGTGGAAAACAGCGAGGCATTAGGGTAGCGTCACAGGACTAGTGCGTCGTTTCTTCGATGGGACGACAGGGAGGAACTGGTCGCCGTCCCTTACATGCGGCGGCGTTGTGGCCACAACGATGCATGGGGTTGACGGCGCGGCTGGCTCGTAAATGGCGCCCATGTCGGAGCTTCCATCTCCTCCAGCTGCCCGCGGCGCCGTTGACTCCAAGGAAAGTATCTGCGGCCTGCCAGGGCTCTGATCAGACTGGTCGGACACTCTGGCCTTTGAGTCTGCCGCTTCTGCTGCGCAGAGAGCTGAACTCCCATCTGCCGTACCAGGCTCTTCTCCTCCTTCGTCAGGCGCCGGACCATGCCGTGAACGCGCTTGGGGCGGGCAGGGCATTTGGGGTCATCCGCGCAATGGGGTCCAAGGCAGTTTGCACACTGCTCGAGGGCGGTGCATTCTTGGCTACGATGGCCGGTTTTGCCACAACGCCTGCAGCGCGCCGTTCGATCGCAGCTGTGTCGAGCGTGGAAATCCCAGCACTTGTCACATTGGCTAGGAATGCTGGGCTTGTTGATATAGCGGGCGAACCGGCTGGCGCCGAACAGTCGCCAGGTCTCTGCGTGGGTTCCAGGAAGGATACAATAAGGGTCTTGGTAGGCATATCGCCCGAGTCGTGTCGCGAGGTCCGTATGCTGATGGGCTTCAGTCCGGTTTGGCAGGCAATTTCTTCTTTGACCGCCTCATCGAAGTTGATCTCAACGCCGCGTAGGTCCGTGAGCCTACGGGGCAATCGGCTACGGCATACGAATGCCATTTCTGGCTAATCTCTACGGCCGTCGCGTCCAGATCTACGGCCCAATCCGCCTGTCGCTGCACGAGTAGTTCGCGCGTGGCCACATCCGATGCCAGGATGGCCCAACCCGTGTTTACCGGGAAGGCTGCCGGGATGCGGCGTAGGTCGATGCCGACTCTAGCGGCGATGTGGGCCCGGATAGCGTATCTTTCATGGTTTCGGGCCGGAGCATCGGCGTCAAGTCGGACAAAGACACGCAGGTCTTCCTTGGGTGGGACCACGGGCGGTCGTCCTTGGAGACGAGTGGTGGTTTGCTGTTTTCGCTGTGGTGGGGCGGAGGCCGTAATGGCCAGCTGTCCTTGTGTCGTTTTGCCGGATGCGAGAACGCTGCTGTACGTAGGTTTCGGTGGTTCCTCAAGGTCGGCGAGCGATTGAGTCCAGAGGTTCAGAAACTTGGTGGCAACTTGCTTTGCGATGCTATTGTGGGAGCCGGACGTGAATTGTTTGGCTGTCTGTTCGAATGATTCGCTAAAGGCCCGAAAGACTGCCAGCTTGGCATCATGGGCTGCCGTTTGGTCGCGAGCGATCTTTGTAGCCGCTTCGATGATGGAGACAGGTGCATTTTCCGTGGACCCGGTCGAACCAGGGCCATTCGGGATTATTTCCGGCTGCGTTCCTTCCGCGACGGCAGCGTTGGGCGTGTCGCTGGGAGACGTCGGTCGAGGGAGCTGCTGAGCCGCCAGGGTTGAGACATTTGGGCGAGCCTCCGCCGGAGAGGACAGTAGGTGCTGAGATGCACGGGCTGCTAGATCAGGTGGCGATTGTATGTCGACAGCACAGGGAGCGGCGCGCGAACCTGAGGCTGGTGCCATGGCCGCTGCCGGCGCTTTGCGCGGCGCTGTTGCGGAATTTTCAAGAGCACTGTTAAGCGAAAAGCTGTATGGATAGGCTACTTCCTTAACACTTGCGTGCCAAGAAAGTAAAAATGCAGGGAAGGGTTGTGAACACAATCGGGTGGTACTACCCGTTGGCCCACCTAGCCTTAGCCAACGGGTAGTGCCATGCGGCTAAACGGCATTCTCCCGGGTTAAAAGAGTAATCAAACATACACTCCTGATTTTCAAACATACACTCCCGACCTAAGCCCCATTTGGAAGAAGACCCCGCCACCAAAATTTGGCGCGCGCTTTCCCAACGCCCTGGCTTGCCGTGACCATCGCCGCCGCCCACCCGCCCAGCCACCTGCCTTTTGGCCGCCATCTGCATTTTCGCAATCATCAACAATTGAAGCTATCACCACTTGACTCAACACAACAGCAACGCCGCCGCCGCCTACCGCAATAGTCACGTCTAGTCAATCGTCCCGATGAATTCGACCGAAAGCAATACCAACAGTAGCACCGAGGCTATCACGGAGATGTCTTTCGATACGTATGATGAGGCGCTTGAAACACTCAAAGCTACGCAAGAGCTCCTTGGCTACGTCGTAGTCGTTGCAAATAGCAAGAATACCGGCAAGCCTAGGCGCAAGGAAGCCAATATCCGCTGTGAATACAGTGGTCAGTATAGGCGAGGCAGAGGTATATACAAGACGTCATCCAAGAAGTCGGGATGTGACTTTCGCTGTTACATCCGCTTCTACCGACGTTGCAATGCATTCAAAGTCACCATCAAGCACGGCTCTCATAACCACGAACCTCTATTTGAGCCAATTGCTAACCCCATCGTCCGTCAACGAAGCCAACGCAAATTCGGCATCGAGCGTCTTCATAGCCTCGTCGAGGGGCTTAGCAAGAACGTCAATAACAAGAGCAGGGATATCGTGGATGCTATCCGACAGGAATATCCTGAGCTCCTTATTACCGATTCTGATATACACTTCATCCAGCTGCAACTTCGTGCCTTCCGTTACGGCGCCTCTACATCTACACAAGCCTTCCTCGATGTACTCAAAGATGCTAAAGGGGAAATCAGCTACTATGCAGTTGACCGTGGCCCTAATGGGAAGGTTTGGAGGTTTTTCTGGACATACGATGACTGTATTGCTGACTGGAAGCGTAACCCCGAGCTCCTTATCATGGATAATACGTATAAGGTCAACCGCTTTAACATGCCGCTTCTACAGATCATTGGCACAACAGGGCTACACAAGAGCTTCAGTGTAGGCTTTGGCCTCACTGCCAAGGAAGACGAAGGCGCGTTCCAATGGATCCTCTCACAGTTGCGTGAGGCTGGTCGGCAGGCTGATATTCCGGACCCGGGCGTTGTGATTACCGACTTTGATACCGCCCTGAAGAACGCCCTTGACTCTATCTTCCCATCAACGCAACAACAAGTGTGCGTTTGGCATATGATGAAGAACGTGATCCTTCACATCAAGAAGAAGTGGGAAGGATCCTCGATGGCACCGAGATTGGCGGAGATAGCCAGAACAGGAGACTCGCCTCGCTGCAGCAGCCGCTCTCGACGACCCTATACAGGCAGATAATGCCATTGACGAGGACCGACCTATCGACCGTGCCACTGATTACCAGATTCAACATGCCTCACAACTGGCAGATCAGTGCGTTGAGCAACAAGATGATCGTGAAGATGACGATGGAAACCAATACTACCCCGGCTCCAAGGCGGACTTTTGAGCACACAGCTGACGGTATCCGTGATGCCTGGGTTTCAGTCTTTAGGGCTCGCACGGCTGAGGAGTGCAGAGATCAGTGGGATCTACTCTGTATAGAGTTTTCGGATCAGCCAGGTAACCTAGCCTAACTACCCTCCTACTCTAACCTTTTACTAAATAGCTCCTCTTATAGCTCTCGTTAATTACCTCCGTACAACCTACTGGCCATGGCGTGCCCAGTTTTCCACCTACGCTATCCAACAGTACCGAAATTATAACATTACGGTAACTTCCCGTGTGGAGCACACATCACGAGTTGAAGTCACGATTACGCAACCGCTTCATTGACCTCCATCAGCTACAAGAGCACATCAGAGGCTCGTTACCCATCGGCAAAGAAGCATCGCGAGGCAATCCGAGTTTGCAAGAGCTAGAGTTGAATGGGCCAAGCAGACGATTATGAAGTCACTGCACCGAAAAATTGGCTGGCAGCCGATGAAACAGATCTTCAGGCAAGTTAGGCTAGCCGGGCTGAGCTTGCCGATAATCGAGGCATGCCTACGATTTGTACGGGTGCTTTCACGATGCAATGGGGGCTGCCCTGCCGGCATACAATCCGCGATTTGATCCAGGCTGACGCGGCCGCCCTTATACCATTGCATCTTATTGATAACCACTGGCGGGTTTACGGCGTGACTGTAAGTATCTTGCTCCAGCCATAAGTACTATACTAATTTACTAGCAGCCTGAACAACAGCAATATATCGATGCAGACCACGAAGCCGATCCTGACGTTGTCAGCCTCGCCGGCGTGGAAACAGTAGACGCGAGGTATCCCTCCACTAGAGGCATCTACGGGATCCTTGGTGCTTGGGAGCAAGAGGAGCATAGAGCCAACCCAGAGCTCGTATCACGGCCACCAGAGACGCAAAGAAGAAGAGGAAGGGCACAGGCACCACTATCATGAACAAGAGGTCGAATACACTTGCTTCCGTGAGCAGCCGGGTTGACGATCTTGCCCAGCAGATCGGTGATTTCATCAAGTCACAAGCAGCAGCAACGCCGGTGCTGTTATCACAGGTTATCACAGGTGCCGCTGGTGTCACAGGGATACCAAACGACGATGCCCTCACTTCCACAGCCGGCGCCGCCGTCACAGGGATACTATGTGATGCCACCGCCTACACCAATTGTGCCTGTATACGTACAGGCGCCGGCGCCGTCACAGTGGCAAGAACCGCCTCCTCGTCACAGGCATCACGACGGCTTCATGCACAGCCGCCGGCACAGTCTCACGAGACGGCTACGCATTTCCAGCTGGGGATCAGAGGGACACGGCACCATACAAAACTAGCAGGCAGGCCACAAATTCGTTCCTCCTCGCCCTCCGCCGCGTCGGACGGATCCTTCCTCACAGTCACAGTCACAGTCACAGAGGTAGGCAAGACCTTCCGCCATTATATGCATATTGTATATATATCGGAAGATCGATCGCCGGGCTTATTGATAGCTTCAATTGAATGACTCTAAGGGATGCATCTTCCGGCGTTGGTAATAATTGCAGATAGAATCCATATATGTCAGACAATAGTGTCCACCTCGCACGTGACAGCGGTTGATCTTTGTGGCATCAGTCAATTGATGAGAATTATCTAAAGAACAAAGGAAAGGAAAAGAATTGGATGCACACATTCGTGCAACAATATATCATCATTGCGGCGAAGCAGCAGTGGCAGTGATCGAGCATAAGGTTTCAGGAACTGACACGGGCGTGATATGCGACAATATATCTAGGCAGGCAGCCGCGGCAGCGGCGTTGGGAAAGCGCGCGCCAAATTTTGGTGGCGGGGTCTTCTTCCAAATGGGGCTTAGGTCGGGAGTGTATGTTTGAAAATCTGGAGTGTATGTTTGATTACTCGCCATGCGGAGGGTTTTTTATATGAGGCATTTTTCTCTTTGGTTGGCGATACCCGATAGCGTAACGCACAAGGCGTGCCACCTTTTAACCCGAGTAATCAAACATACACTCCAGATTTTCAAACATACACTCCCGACCTAAGCCCCATTTGGAAGAAGACCCCGCCACCAAAATTTGGCGCGCGCTTTCCCAACGCCGCTGCCGCGGCTGCCTGCCTAGATATATTGTCGCATATCACGCCCGTGTCAGTTCCTGAAACCTTATGCTCGATCACTGCCACTGCTGCGCCAGGCTTCGCCGCAATGATCGGGTATATATTGTTGCACGAATGTGTGCATCCATTCTTTCCTTTCCTTTGTTCTTTAGATAATTCTCATCAATTGACTGATGCCACAAAGATCAACCGCTGTCACGTGCGAGGTGGGGACACTATTGTCTGACATATATGGATTCTATCTGCAATTATTACCAACGCCGGAAGATGCATCCTTAGAGTCATTCAATTGAAGCTATCAATAAGCCCGGCCCGATCGATCTTCCGATATATATACAATGCATATAATGGCGGAAGGTCTTTGCCTACCTCTGTGACTGTGACTGTGACTGTGAGGAAGGATCCGTCCGACGCGGCGGAGGGCGAGGCACGTGGAACGAATTTGTGACCGGCCTGCCTGCTAGTTTTGTATGGTGCCGTGTCCCTCTGATCCCCAGCTGCTGGAAATGCTCCGTAGCCGTCTCGTGAGACTGTGCCGGCGGCTGTGCCCACATGAAGCCGTCGTGATGTGCCTGTGACGAGGAGGCGGTTCTGCCACTGTGACGGCGCCGGCGCCTGTACGTATACAGGCACAATTGGTGTAGGCGGTGGCATCACATAGTATCCTGTGACGGCGGCGCCGGCTGTGGAAGTGAGGGCATCGTCGTTTGGCATCCCTGTGACACCAGCGGCACCTGTGGAAGTGAGGGCACCTGTGATAACAGCACCGGCGTTGCTGCTGCTTGTGACTTGATGAAATCACCGATCTGCTGGGCAAGATCGTCAACCCGGCTGCTCACGGAAGCAAGTGTATTCGACCTCTTGTTCATGATAGTGGTGCCTGTGCCCTTCCTCTTCTTCTTTGCGTCTCTGGTGGCCGTGATACGAGCTCTGGGTTGGCTCTATCCTCTTGCTCCCAAGCACTAAGGATCCGGCCCGTAGATGCCTCTAGTGGAGGGATACCTCGCGTCTACTGTTTCCACGCCGGCGAGGCTGGACAACGTCAGGATCGGTTTCGTGGTCTGCATCGATATATTGCTGTTGTTCAGGCTGCTAGTAAATTAGTATAGTACTTATGGCGGGAGAAAAATACTTACAGTCACGCCGTAACCCCGCCAGTGGTTATCAATAAGATGCAATGGTATAAGGGCGGCCGCGTCAGCCTGGATCAAATCGCGGATTGTATGCCGGCAGGGCAGCCCCATTGCATCGTGAAAGCACCGTACAAATCGTAGGCATGCCTCGATTATCGGCAAGCTCAGCCCGGCTAGCCTAACTTGCCTGAAGATCTGTTTCATCGGCTGCCAGCCAATTTTTCGGTGCAGTGATCTTTGCCGATGGGTAACGAGCCCTCTGATGTGCTCTTGTAGCTGATGGAGGTCAATGAAGCGGTTGCGTAATCGTGACTTCAACTCGTGATGTGTGCTCTCCACACGGGAAGTTACCGTAATGTTATAATTTCGGTACTGTTGGATAGCGTAGGTGGAAAACTGGGCACGCCATGGCCAGTAGGTTGTACGGAGGTAATTAACGAGAGCTATAAGAGGAGCTATTTAGTAAAAGGTTAGAGTAGGAGGGTAGTTAGGCTAGGGTTACCTGGCTGATCCGAAAACTCTATACAGAGTAGATCCCACTGATCTCTGCACTCCTCAGCCGTGCGAGCCCTAAAGACTGAAACCCAGGCATCACGGATACCGTCAGCTGTGTGCTCAAAAGTCCGCCTTGGAGCCGGGGTAGTATTGTTTCCATCGTCATCTTCACGATCATCTTGTTGCTCAACGCACTGATCTGCCAGTTGTGAGGCATGTTGAATCTGGTAATCAGTGGCACGGTCGATAGGTCGGTCCTCGTCAATGGCATTATCTGCCTGTATAGGGTCGTCGAGAGCGGCTGCTGCAGCGAGGCGAGTCTCCTGTTCTGGCCTATCTCCGCCAATCTCGGTGCCATCGAGGGATCCTTCCCACTTCTTCTTGATGAAGGATCACGTTCTTCATCATATGCCAAACGCACACTTGTTGTTGCGTTGATGGGAAGATAGAGTCAAGGGCGTTCTTCAGGGCGGTATCAAAGTCGGTAATCACAACGCCCGGGTCCGGAATATCAGCCTGCCGACCAGCCTCACGCAACTGTGAGAGGATCCATTGAACGCGCCTCGTCTTCCTTGGCAGTGAGGCCAAAGCCTACACTGAAGCTCTGTGTAGCCCTGTTGTGCCAATGATCTGTAGAAGCGGCATGTTAAAGCGGTTGACCTTATACGTATTATCCATGATAAGGAGCTCGGGTTACGCTTCCAGTCAGCAATACAGTCATCGTATGTCCAGAAAACCTCCAAACCTTCCCATTAGGCCACGGTCAACTGCATAGTAGCTGATTTCCCTTGCTTTAGCATCTTTGAGTACATCGAGGAAGGCTTGTGTAGATGTAGAGGCGCCGTAACGGAAGGCACGAAGTTGCAGCTGGATGAAGTGTATATCAGAATCGGTAATAAGGAGCTCAGGATATTCCTGTCGGATAGCATCCACGATATCCCTGCTCTTGTTATTGACGTTCTTGCTAAGCCCTCGACGAGGCTATGAAGACGCTCGATGCCGAATTTGCGTTGGCTTCGTTGACGGACGATGGGGTTAGCAATTGGCTCAAATAGAGGTTCGTGGTTATGAGAGCCGTGCTTGATGGTGACTTTGAATGCATTGCAACGTCGGTAGAAGCGGATGTAACAGCGAAAGTCACATCCCGACTTCTTGGATGACGTCTTGTATATACCTCTGCCTCGTCCCAGGGCTATACTGACCACTGTATTCACAGCGGATATTGGCTTCCTTGCGCCTAGGCTTGCCGGTATTCTTGCTATTTGCAACGACTACGACGTAGCCAAGGAGCTCTTGCGTAGCTTTGAGTGTTTCAAGCGCCTCATCATACGTATCGAAAGACATCTCCGTGATAGCCTCGGTGCTACTGTTGGTATTGCTTTCGGTCGAATTCATCGGGACGATTGACTAGACGTGACTATTGCGGTAGGCGGCGGCGGCGTTGCTGTTGTGTTGAGTCAAGTGGTGATAGCTTCAATTGTTGATGATTGCGAAAATGCAGATGGCGGCCAAAAGGCAGGTGGCTGGGCGGGTGGGCGGCGGCGATGGTCACGGCAAGCCAGGGCGTTGGGAAAGCGCGCGCCAAATTTTGGTGGCGGGGTCTTCTTCCAAATGGGGCTTAGGTCGGGAGTGTATGTTTGAAAATCAGGAGTGTATGTTTGATTACTCCGCTATCTCCACAGCAAATACCCGTGCCACGCTCCACTTTACTGTCACTCGTAGAACTCGCACCACCTAGCACCACTTTTTTTTTTGTGCCGGAGGGTTCCCCCTATAGAGCCACTACGCTAAGCTATAAACCTTCTGTAATCGTGCCCGCCCCCACTTTATTGGGATTCGCTTTGGCTCACCCACTAAAGTGGGTGCTGAGGCTGGATGGCGCCATGGTCTTCGCAACACCTCCTTGTTGACCAAACTGAACGAGAGTCCTCCATTGAACAGAGCGAGTTTGAGCGAACGCCAGCTAGGCATTGAGGGGCCTCATCATGGAGACGCCGGCTGAGGCCGTGATCATGGTGGGGCGAAGCGCGTCGCCTGCGTCGACACCCGCGAAAAGATCGACACGCGTCGTGAGGCCAAGCACCAAAATTCGAGAAGCCGCGCGACAGCCCGACGATCTGGCGGAGAAGACAACACGCGCAACTAGGCTTGCAACACGCATTGCCTCGGATGATGTCGCCATCAGTGACGCGACTGAGCGGCGCAAAGTTGCCAGCAGCAGCAGTGGCGCGAACGAAGGCCGAGCCATGCTCCAGAAAGTTCTCGAACTCTTGAGCGAGTCACGTCAAGAAACGCAAAAGCTCAGCCGAGCGATAGATGCGCAAAACGAGATCATATCCAAGCAACAGCAGATGATCCAGGAAATGGATCAACAAGGGAAAGAGATGAGAGATGAGCTTCGTCACATCCGAGCGCAGTTAGAGACCCTGGCTACGCCCGCATCTTCTCTGCAGAGCAGTCCGCAGATGTCGTATGCGAGCGCTGCAGGGTCATCGCCGACGATCCAGACAATGAACCGGGGCACCGTACCAGCAGCTAAATCGGCACGAACAGCCGTCAGCGATAGTCTCTACTGTACGGTGGACACATCACGAGTCGAAGAAGCGAACAGGTGCCAGACGCAGATCGGCAACATCCGAAAGGCCATAGAGAGCGACATGAGAAAGAGTCAGAGGCAGGAGACTTGGAAATGCGCAGCGGTCGTGACAGACGCTCGAAACCCCGACCGGATCAAAATTTTATGCAGAGACCAAACCGAGTTGAAGCAGGTCAAGGAAGCAGCGCAGAAGACGGTAACTTCGGGAGCCAGGGTACTGAGAGATCAGCTTTACCCTGTCAAAGTCGACAACACCAAGCGTACCGCAGTGCTGGACGCCGAAGGCAACGTTCTGCCGGGCGCAGCTGAGGCGCTCGGAGCCGAGAATTACGTCACGATTGCCAAGATCACCTGGCTTAGCAACAGAGAGAAAGCCAAAGCGTACGGGTCAATGGTGATCTATGTCACTAAAGAGAGTGACGCGCAAAGACTTCTGGACGGCGTGTGGTTCGATGTTGCGGGAGAGTCCGCCTGCACCAATGTTTTGAACGCCGCGTAGGACCGATTCAGTGCTTCAACTGTCAAGAGATGGGACACAAGGCGTTTTCATGCAAGAAGCCGCAAAGATGTGGCAGATGCGCGAAAGCAGAACATCACCACAGAGAATGCAAGGAGACAGTGCCAAAGTGCGTGCCCTGCGGTGGACCACACGAATCGTACAGCCGGAACTGTCGGGCGCGGAACCCTGGGGATGAGACGCAGGCAGCGTCTGGCCCTTCGGGCTAAGCAGCGGAAGTGAGAATCCACTTAGGATCGATTATGGCACTAACCTTCAACAATACTAACACACAGGTATTCGACTTCGGATTTCGACAGACCGCGCTTCAGCTGCTGAAGGTAGGACGCTGAACACTTGGAGAAATTGGCCTTCAAGCAGGCCTGTCACGGAGCGAGTAGCGGCGAGGTTGGTGTAGCGTATGCTGACCCGTGGGGCTTAAGGTGTTATGCATTAATGTATTGAAATGTCAGTAGCTTTTACGTCTAGGCCCTATAGGAGAAATCCTCCGGGTGAAATACACATACATACATACAAGTGGGTGCTGAGCCTCCATGGCGTAGTGGTGACACGTCTGGAGCTTCTGCGTCGCAGAGGGGTCGGTTCGAAGCCGGCTGGAGGCACCCCTGAGCGAACAGGGTACACCCGGGTTCCCGCCCGTCAAGAGGGAATAGCGTCATGAGAGAACACAATCGGCGTACCAACCACCATCAATGACTAACACAACCACGCTTCAACTTCGACACATCGCGCTTCAGTTGCTGGGAATAGGATGCTGAACACTTGGAGAAATTGACCTTCAAGCAGGTCTGTCATGGAGCGAACAGTGGAATGGTTGGCGCAGCGTAAGATGATCTGTGGGTACGGGCGACTGTAGGCCAGACTGTCTCAAAACGCATTTGGGAAGAAAATTTGTCATTACGTATACCCTACTGTGACCATAGAGGGTTATGGCCCATTTTTAAATATTCGGCTTAGCAGAAGCAGGGTTAATTGCATATACGACGAAGTTATAGCAGATCTTTACAGTCACGTTTCTTTCTTCCCCCTACTTTATTTTGCGTGGACGAATATTAAAAATGCAAGCTATCACGATTGACAGTCAGACTTGCAAATAGATAAATCAAATCAAATCCGGGGTCCAATTTGATTTGATTTGGATGGCAAAATCATGGATCTGATTTGATTTGATTTGATTTGAGTCGATTTGGATCTCATTTGGATATCTGGATAACTCCACTTTTTTTCCCACGACGAAATACACTGAGCCGCCCCGATAAGGTCCGCTTTGAGGCGGCCTCTCTGAGCTGTGACCATCTGTCCGGCAAGGCTAAATATTCTCTCCGGCTCTGAAGACATTGCCGGAATAGAAAAGAGGTCGATTGCCATTCGCGACAAGCGTGGATACTGGCGTCTGCGGAGAAGCCAGTACTGGATGGGATTGTCCACAAGACAATCGCCCGGATCGGTACTGGCCACCCATTCTGCGTATTCGTCACGCGTGGAGGACGGTGAGGGCGCAGGTTGGGCGCCAAGTTTCCTAATTGAGGTCATGAAGTCATCTAGGTCCGTTGTCTTCCTTGCAGCTGTGGGCTCCTCGGGTATCGTATCTTGCTCGACCGCGAGGGTTCGGTACTCCTCCCATAGCTCTTGCACAGCCGCCCTTCCTCTGGCCAACCAGTCCGGATGATCGGACCACTGCGACTCGACGGTGGACCAGCGAAACGCGGGATGGAGGACGAGGCTCGCGAGGTACGCAGGGCTATCCTCCGTAAGGGCGTAGTATTGATCCAGCTTCATCCAGCCGAGATTGCAGCCGATTCGCAGGTACGGTTCCTCGTCCCGTTCGTGCTGTAGCTTTGCCTCTTCTAGGTGCTTCAGAAGCCACTCCATTGTGAGCAAAACTTCCCAAATCGCGCCGAATTTGCCTTGTCGTGGCTGGCCCTCTAGGCGCTTTGTCGCGATCTTCAATGGTTTCAGGATCGCCAAATACTCTGCAATAACGGACCAGTCCTCAGTGACCATCTGGTCGTCCACAATTGTAGGCTTCTTGCGGCACTTCTTCGGCATCGGCTTTGCCCCGTGCTGTGTCCTTCTCGCCACATATTGATTCCACTCTGTCACTTCCGCTTGGACCAGCGAATCGAGTGCATTGCGAAGCATGTAGCCCCGCTCCATCATCGCTTCGGACGAGTTCCAGCGAGTAGCGTTGTCCATGACCACATCGTAGGTTGTTTTGTCTTCGAGGCCCAGGGCGGTGTTCTCGATGGATTGGAGCATGTGGAGCCTTTCAATGCGCTGCCCAGACCTTTCCACCCAGTGAACGATATTGTGCAACTTGCCGATGGGGCCCCTTGATCTCCAGAGTCTGACCTCATCTTGGATCTCTTTGTTGGCTTGGCAATCCTCTTCGAACGCGTCGGCGTCCGTGCCGAAAAGGATGGATCGGGCGACGAGGTTGATGATGTGGCCGCAGCAACGGAGCCGACGATGCTGCTTGTTGAACCCCAACTCAGCGCCCAAGTCTTCAAGGCACGTGTCGTTGCTCTCCGCATTGTCTGTGACAAAATATCCAACGCGATCCTCGAACCCATACTCGTGGATTATCTCGCTGACACGGTCGGCCAGGTTTTCTCCACAGTGGCGACCTTCAATCCGTGGCAAGCCGAGGAGAAACGTACGGAACTTCCTTCGTCATCAATAAAGTGTACGGTAAGGCCGAGCAGAGATGTGAATTTTCGGGAGGACCAAGCATCAAAGGAGACGTTGATGCGGCTGAGCGACCGACGAAGCAATTCCGTCACGACACCTTTGTGACAATTGAAGGAGCGCACAATCCAGTCGCGTATTGTGCTATGAGGGAATACTGCCCGAATCCGCAATTGCGCTGTTCGCGTAAGCCATAAGGTCGCGAAAGTACGGACTCTCCAGTTTGTGGAATGGTATGTTGTCGCATGCCACCCAGCGTATCAAGAGATGTTGAAAGCGAAGCGGTTCAAAGGACGAGATGAAGGCATTCATCAGAGCCTGATCCTTCGGTCGGTTGGAGTCTAGGTCAACCACGTCGAAAAGAGTGCGTTGCTTCTTCCTCTGTGGTAGCATTGGCCCGCCTTTGTTGATGTGGTGAATTTCTTCCATGTGACTGTTCGCTTGACTTGTGGATGCAGCATCGTACATATGGGTAATTGTAGCCTTCTTCCGTGGCAGGCCTTGCAAAGCCAAAACCGATGACCGGAATCGGTTTTCTCGATATCGAACCCATGCTCCCATACCCATCCCGTCCGCGCTCTTTTTCTATACTTGCGTATGGAGAAACCGAGAGGCGATTCCAATCGATGCCTTCATATCCAACGTAGTCGATCGAAGGTGATGTGTCAAGGTCGGGGGAGCTCTCGGGAGCGCTAAAACTGGTGGACGGGACACTAGAAAGGGCGGCTGACAGCGCCTCGCCTTCTGCTGTATGCGCCATTGCAGTCAAGTGCAGAGCTGTCCCATTTTGGCCACCGGCTACAAATATTTCCCCCAGTAATATGGCAGACGCACCCAAAGATATATTTCACGATCAAACGTGTCAGGTAAAACGCAAAAAGAAAGCTTAGTGACACGGCCTGGAAAAGCAACTGCCAGTAAGGGATTTCCGGTGATCTGCCGGATCGGGCGATTCGCCGGATTCACCGCCAGTTCACGTCTCCACTTCAATCCTGAATTTCTCCACCACCATGGCCCCGATTGATGAAGCGCTTGAGTTTCTGAAGCTGTGTGACACTGTTAACTATGCCAAGACTGCGCGTCAGTTCAATTGCGACGAGACTACCCTGCGACGGCGACACCAAGGCAAACAGAGGTCAAGACGGGATGCCGACAGTTTGTATAAGTCACGTCTCTCAAAACAGCAAGAAAGGGATCTTGTTGCGTATATTCGCAAGCTTTCATCACGTGGGATTCCGCCTACGCTGCCGATGATCAAAAGTTTTGCCCAGGATATCGCCAAAATTGAGGTCGGAAAGGACTGGCCGTATAGCTTCGTCCGACGTAACAGCGATGAGCTCGGTTGCACTTGGTTCGACGGTTTTGATATCGCAAGAAAGAGAGCAGACAATGCTTCTAGATACAGAGCCTACTATGAGCTTGTAAGTAGGTGCCCAAGTCCATCCCTTCATTGCTGATCGTACAAGATTGGCGAGAAAATCGAGAAATACGACATCCTGCCTTGCAACACGTATAATGTGGACGAAAAGGGCTTTCTCCTCGGCGTCATCAATCGTACCAAGAGAGTATTCTCTGTTCGTGCCAAGAAGCAAGGAAAATTGATCGGTGCTGCGCAGGATGGCAACAGATCATGGATCACGTTCCTGGCATGTGTCTGTCAAGACCTGACCGCGCTACCCCCGTTTCTCATCTACCAAGGCAAGCCAGGGCAAGTTCAGGACTCCTGGCTCACGGAGTTTGATCCGGAGCACCAAGCGGCGTTTTTCACAACCTCAGAAACGGGTTGGACGAACCATGAACTTGGAAAGGAATGGCTCATTGGTGTTTTCGACCGGTTCACGAAAGAAAAGGCGCGAAACGGCCGGGATTACCGCCTCCTGATTACCGACGGACACTCTAGTCATGTCAATATGGACTTCCTGGAGTGGTGTGACCAGCATCGGATAATCGTTGCCGTGTTTCCGCCGCATTCCACGCACAGGCTGCAGCCCCTTGATGTGTCCCTTTGGCCCTCTTTCGACCGCATACACCAACCAGCTCATCCAGTGGACTGCAAAGACACAGGGACTCATCGGGCTATCGAAACGCGAGTTCTGGTCGTTATTTTGGAACGCATTCGGGTCATCTTTCTCGGCGGAGAACATCGCAAGTGGTTGGAAACGGACCGGACTCTCCCATTTGACCCTGAAGTCGTTTTGTCGCAGATCGCGGAGAAAACAGAAGATGAGTCTGAGTCTGGCGACAGCTCCGTTGACTCGCTCGCCCTGCAGCAGCCCACTGCTCGGGATTTGCGCCGACTTGTCGACAAGGTAGTCGATGGATCCTCAAAAACGCTAGCCGAGACAGTCGGAAGCTCAAAGTACTCTCGAAAGTCTCCAATCTCAGAACGAATTGCTTCGATATGAGAATCAGGGACTTCGGGAGACTATCTTTCACGAAAAGCAGCGCAGAATGCGCGGTAAAGCTCTGAAGGATTACCTTTTCGATCGTGTAGATCCTAACTCGGCGCAGGTATTTAGCCCTGCAAAAGTGGCCCAAGCGCGCTTGAAGAAAGCAGCCATGGAGACTCAGAAGCAAGAAGAGGCCTTGGAGAAAGAACGACAAAGGTTTGAGCGACAGCAAAGGCGGCAAACCTCAAAGTTCTCGCTCTGGAGAAGAGAAGGCAGCGGGAGGCAAAACTGAGCAAAGACGTCAGGCAAAGGAAGCCAGACAACAAGAGCGGGAGAAAAACAGGCAGATACGGAAAGAGCTCAAGCGAAAGAACCAGAAAAAATGTCGGAAATGGGATCCGACCTCTGTTGCTCCACAGACTCGCGAGAAGAGTCCGGGCGTTCGAGACGAGATTGTCGTCGCCATTTCGGCTCCACCAGAACCGACGACAGCTCCGGAACACTCAAAATCGCCAAACATTAAGTTGCGTAAAGATCCAAAGCCGGCATTGACCACTTCCTCACGTCCCAAAAAGCCATCATTGGCTGTCGAGCGCGACCAGGAGATGGTAGTCGCAATGCGGGGACTTGCGCGATCGGGACGCCACAGGAAGCGGCCACGGTGGCTTGATGACTGCGAAGTAGATTGAATGGAATTGCTAGGCATCTTTCTTGCTTCTGCTTTAATGTGAGATTGTTTCATATTATTTTCGTGGAGTTTCACTCAAATCTTCACCGGAATGCAAGGGAACCAAAATCCGGCGAATCATCCGATCCGGCAGATCACCGGGAAATCCCTTAATAAGCGACCGCTCTGGGCCAGGGCTGGCTCCCAAAATTATTGGCCCAGGTCGCCATTGTGGGGCGTATCCAATAATCAGATATCCAAATAAATTTGGATGTTGCGATTTGATTTGATTTGATTCAGCGCAGGGGCAATTTGATTTGATTTGATTTGGATAAATTTGATTTGATTTGATTTGATTTGATTATGATTTATCTATTTGCAAGTCTGTTGACAGTATTCTCCTCCCATCAATTCCTCCTACTGCACAACAACCAGGGTGGCAAACCACTCAATCAACTCAACCAAAGAGTCAAATTGAGTAGATTGACGGCTTACATCAGCGAACCTCTCGTTGAGTTGAGCAATCCAAGCCCTCGTTGAATTGATTGCGTTGATTGACGGAGTTGATGCCCTACCCTACCTATTAGTAAGCTACTTAAGGTCCTCAACACCATCAACTTCTCGTCCTTCGTGGGGCACCTCTTCGGGAAGACATCGTCATCGACTGAAGCATCAATAATCCCCTGGTAGTCGGGTATTAGCCCTGCCTTCAGCCAAGACCGAATTGCCTGGCCTGCATTGATCGTGTTAGCCTGAAGCCGGCTGCGTAGTCGTGTGACCATTAGCCCAGCAAATGAGAACGCCCTCTCGCACTCTGCTGACATTGGCGGTATAGATAGCATATCAAAGGCCATTCGAGCAAGTCTGGGATACGTTGACTCTTTGAGTTGCCAGTATTGGAACGGATCCGTGATGTCTCCGTCATCTGCGCCGATATCAACAGTCCAGCGATCGAATTCATCGGCAGTAGGTGGCCCACGACGGGTTGTGGCCGTCTGACCAGCTTGTAGCCGGTGCCTCAGTCGGAACTGTTGGAACTCGTTCAAGTCGTCAACCTTTCGACGTTTAACCATCGGAATAGCCTCGTCATCGCTGAGAATTAATGACTTATAGTCGCGTTCCCAGATGCCCCGAACAATCCGTCGTGCCTCAAGGACCCATTCAGGTCGATGAGCCCAAGCCTCCTCAAACCATTGCAGTCGCAAGGCGGGATGGAGAGCGACTGCAGCATAATATACCGGGCACTCAACCAACTTGATATAGTATTTCTCCAACTTCTTCCACCCCAATTCGACGTTTATCGCGAAATGCTCGGAATCAGGCACATCCTTGGCGAATTCCTTTGCCTCTTCCAATCGTTCAAGGAGATATTCGAATGCTTGGATAATATCCCATGCTGTTCCGTATGCCACGAGGTTGCCGCCCTTACGCACCCGAATCTGGGCATCTCCTCGAGGGCCTTGATGGCATTTTCGAAGTGCTTAAGAATATTCCGAAAGTGGCTGATCACTGTCCAGTCGTTACCGGTCAGCAGGTCAGAATCTCGGAGGCATGCAGGCATGTCTTTCTTCTTTGACCTGCTTCGGGTATATTCGAACTGTTCCAATGCGACGAGGTCGTCAAGAAAGTCGTGCAGTAGAAGGGCTCGATCCATCATCTTATAATGGGACAACCATCGTGTCATGTTATCCGTTACAACGTCAACTGGTTTCTTCGTACTGTCCCTCTTGCGTTGTAGATCCCGAAGCATGTACGTTAACCTATCCGATTGATGAATCCAGTGGACAAGGTTGTGGAGCTTGCCAATAGGCCCCCCTCTTCCGCCAGAGATCATGTCGAGCAAGGTCCAGGTCGAGTCGCTCTTCTGATTTGAAGACTTCATTATCTTTGCCAAAGAGCAGCGCTTTGGCCACGAGATTGATGATATGCCCA